TTTAACAAAAAAAAAAAAAAAAAAAAAAAAAAAATCGTATAAAAATGTGCATAGAAATTTTGTAACAAAAGTAACCTTAATTGTCTTATGGTCAAATGGTAAGAAACGTGATTTGGGATACCACCATATTTCAGATTCGATCAGTGTACAGTAGAAAACTATTCATATTACTTTTAGAGCATGATCATTGCGAAACCAAAAAAAAAGGACGCTTAAATTTTTTTTTTTTTGATTATTCTTATTTAATTAAAAAAGAATTAAAAAGTAATCAATCGTAGGCTGCCACGTGTCAGTGGGGCCTGCGAAAAGTGCAAGCATTCCCCAAAATCGACGCTTATACAAGATTCAGAAACACTAGTGCTTGGACTTTAATGGAACCCACCTCACTATTTTAATATTTTTTTGATAAACACTTTCCCTTAAGCAACATGGATGAATATGCTCTTAAACACCTACAAATTAAGATATGGACATATGGTTTTGGTTTATTTGCATACACGAAAAAGAGTCTTAATATATGAAATTATACTTTTCTTTAAAGATTAGTTTGAACTTTTCCATTGGTATGAAATATTCATACTAATAAAAAAAAAATTGCAATATGACATTGAATATAGCATTCTATTCACAAAATACATATCGATCATTTCCTTTAATTACAGTGATATACTAGTCCATAGTGGTGATTAATGCACAATCATCCACATTTTCGCGCCGAAAGCAAAGCTATTACCAGTATCCCTTTGATTTATTTATACCTATAGACAACAATTAATACAATTCAAACTTATAGATTTTCAGATTTCTATGAATTCATTTTTCATACTAAATATTTAACTTTTCTAATTGGCAATCTCCCATTCATACTCTGCATATATATGCTACTTGAAAACTAACTAATCATATTTTTAAAACATACTTAACGTGGCATTTAATATTCAGGTCCGTTTTTTTTCTGTTGTTATTGTATTATTGTACGTGCATGCATGATCTGTTACCTTATTCTTTGGCTTTATCTCTATGGATAGATGATAGCTTCTCATTTTTATATTATAGTAGTTTTACCTGTCTCTCTAATCGTATTATTAAAATCTAGCTAATATTAGAATGCCTTTTATTATACTTTATCATCTTAAATTTTAATGATGATTTAATTCTGCTGATCACAAATAAAGAGTAGGAAGTATAAAGTGAAGAGCTGATTTTTTGTTTGTCGAAAGTAGGAACTATAATTCTCATTAAAAATGATGATACCAACATTCCAAATCTGGCCGGAGATTCCCACATTCGTGTTTTACTTCCTTTATTTTTACCAACTTTCATTTATTTATGTATATTACCATGAATGCTCGATTCCATAGCTAGTGGTGTTATACATAAACAAAATCATCATTGGTTGGTGGAAGCCTTTAACCCAATAGTTTGATAAGATTTATTAATGATTTTACAATAAAAAAAAATAAGTTTCGAGTCTCAGAAAAAAAACGAATTATGCAGTTTAAAGGAGAAAAGATTTACCGGAGATAGTCAGCAAGGTATAAGAAGAACCTACAGACGTGGTGTAATAATCTACGGTTGTAGATCGTCTTTGTAATGTTTAGTTTAAAAAAAATCATCATTGGTTGATTATATATGAAGGTTTAAGAAAGTGTACATTCTTGGACGCATTACCGTAATGTTCATGACATTCTGATTTGATAGACATAAAGCAATATCTCGTTGGTGCATTATAAATTTCACACTTGAATATGACTAAATTTCTAACGCACGATTTGATATGTTCTGGTATTATACATGCGAATCAATCAGCGCATGGATTATTAATTTGGAGGATTTAACGTTTTTAATCTGGAAATTTTGGACTTTCGAGATTATAGATTTATCTACGAGAGGAAAATATAATAACTGTTTTTAACCTACCATCTATTCCCAATTCAACTAATTTACATCGTCTTGTAGATTGTAAAAATATTTAAGCTATCAGCACTTATACATAGAAAGAATTAAATATTTTCTATAATATAAGACGTTTTGGTTAAAATCACAAAATTAAGTTTTTTTACTTTTAAGTAGAATATTATTAATAATATTAATTCAAATGAGTTAACCAATAATAAATAATTTAGTAAAATATTATTGGTGAACTAATTTTCAATAAACTTAAATTTATTTTAAAATAAAAAACATCCTATATTTTGGAATATCAAATTTTCTCTAAAATATCTTACATTATAGAACATAAGACCATTTACATTGATTTACATAAAACAACATTCTCTTTTTCTCTTTTAACACTCTAATTCATCTTCTCTATTCCAGCTAATTATTTAACATTCATTTTATTTTGAATCTCTACAATAGTTTTCTTTAATAACACTCTACTCCACCATTTAAAATTTATGATCTTTTATAATTTACCAACTTCGTATTAATAATATTTTCCATTATAATTAACTTAAATAACTACAATGACATAGTTTTCATTTTATTTTGTATTATATTCTTGTCTATTTTTAAAAAATAATACTAAATTAATATTACTAACTACAGAATTAAAACGCTAAAATAGTTGATTACTTATTAGATGCCAATAATCGAAATATAACAAAATAAAGTTTTTTAAATATCTAAGTGAAATGAAATGAAACTAGTCTCTCTTTATTAATCATAAAAATTTATGAATTTGATATATTGTTATTTATAAAAAATATATTTTAGTATTACATAATTGAACGAAAATAAAAATAAACACTAAACACATGTAAGGGCATGGATAGCATCATAGTGGAAATCTAGGTGACCAAAATTGGGAGAAAAAGGTTTCATTAGGATGAAGAGTGACAATGGTAAGGCATAGCGTTTATGTGGAAACAACAGGGTTACTTCTTTCCCAACCAAAACAATGTGATATATAAATCATGTTTAGAGATGTTAAAATGAGCTACCCGGGCCTGTTTAGGCCTTGTCCATTCAGGTTTAGTCCATGTAATTTTTAATTTATTTATATCTTATACCCGTTTAGGTCCATTTTCTTCCAAACTTGTTTAATCTGAAATTGTTCGTTTAGTTTGTTTAGGTCTGTTTACATATTTTTGTGTGAATTCAATTTTTTTTTAATGACCTTTTGTAATATCTTAATATAATTTTTAATAACTTTTTGTATGATTTCAAAACTTTATAATAAATAGAAAAAGATGATCAAGTTTTGACATTCATATACCATTTTAATACGCACGGAACTAAAAAAGAAAAAAAGAAAAAAGAGTCGAATAAACAAGACAACAACAAAAACTTTGGTGTAATTCAAACAACAAAACAATGGAAATTTTTTTAGTTAAATTAGAGAGGACAATCAAAAGAGGATTGATTGTGTTGTGATATCAAAATCACTATTCTATTGGGAATAACTCATTACCAGAAGATTCACATGTGGAACCAACATCGTCCTCTTCGTTCTCTTCTAACGACCTTCCCATAGTTTCACGTGTGTATAAGTACGTCACCAACACTCCAGCGATACAAACTGCACCAAGGACCAAAAAAGATATCCTCATGCGTGTCACCTCTGGAAAAATCTCATCTTTGTCCACTTCCTCGTGTTGCGTGGCCCACAAGAAACCAACCGTCCCAACAATGGCCCCAAGCTTCCCGGCAGCTCCAGATATCCCGTGACACGTAGACCTAAACCTAGCCGGGAAAAGCTCCGCCGGGATGATAAACGTCGTCGTGTTTGGTCCAAAGTTGCTAAAGAAGAAGATCAATCCATAAAGAATCATAAAGCCTTTATTAGTCTTCTCATGCTTAGACCAATACCAACTGTACGGTATCCCAGCGACTAGGTAAACAACGGCCATACAGAAAAAACCCATTAGCTGAATCTTGACACGACCGATTCTATCGATGAAGTAGACGGTGAACCAGTAGCCGGGGATGGTGGAGCAAGCGGCTACGATGGCTGCGAGTTTAGCCACCTCGAAGGCAGAGTCGTAGACGTTTGTGGAGTTGAGTGGTTTATTGGAGAAACTGAAGATTTGAGAGAGGAGAAGGTTGCTTGTGTAGAAGACTACGTCCACTAGGAACCAATTGGCTGAGGCTGCGAAGAGGTCACGGCCGTGGAGGCTAAAGAAACGGCGGGAGAAGAGTTTGTAGGAGGAAGAAGTCGATGGTGGTAGTTCTAGTGTCTCCGATAATGTATCTTCGGCTACTTGAGACAGGGATACGGACATGACTTTTTGCATGTCTTTTGCTGCTTGTCTTGCGTTGTTCTCGACTAGTGCTGTGTATCTGCATGCATTTTTAAATGTTTAGTATTTCAAGGATTGATTTGATTATTGGGAATACTGAAACAGGGAAAATTCAAAAGTAGATATTTATTACTCGTAATTCATGTTAAAATCTTCTAAACTAGACGTTTTAGTTTGTGGACAAGGTTGTAAATATATATTCAACATTTTAAAAAAGTTTAGTAGCAAAATATAGCATTATTCTGACGCAAACATATGTAAATTAGTTAGTATGTTCTTATTTCAACTAAATTTACAACAAAAAGAGAGATATCATATCAAAACTCACTAAACAACCAATGCTGACAATGTAGAAATGACATGCCATTTATATATTGTACATTATGTCCTAATTTATAGTATGTGTGACATTTTTAAAACATAAGTCAAATAACTAAACTAATTAGATAAATCTTTCAATTGATTATTAATCACTTTTGCTTTATCGTTAACAATATTTACTAAATTTTTCGTCAGTCGACACAGATTAGCTAGGTTTATAATTAGAGATAGTTTTATCAGCCAAACTAAACATTAGTCATACGATATATATTATATAATTGACGTTTTAAATAAATAGCAAAGATAATCAAGGTGGGAGAACTTGATAGGAAGAGATTGCATATTATTTGGAGAAAATAGATCTAGTTATAATATACCAAAACTCTGTTTCTTAGCTGGAGCTTTACCTGGAAAGAATGATTAACTAATAGAAGGCATACTAAAACCATATATTAGTCATATTAAAATGTGAATACTATCCGAATACGTTATCATGATGTAGCCTAAAAAGGTCTGTATATGTATATATACACCACTGTGCTAGGTATATTCCCTACCAAGTCAACTTACTTCCTAGAAACAAACCACGACGTTTCCACTCTTTACATTACTACACATTCTGTAGTATTATTTAAAATCTATAATCGGAACAAAATCATATCGAATTTAGGTTAAATTTCATGAAGTCTTCGCTCCTATAAGATCAGTTTCTTCAACCTGATTCGTTATTGAAACGTGGGTAGAACTTATGTTTAACACACAATTAAACATACTTCAAATGACTTAGTTTATGATTTTGGGTTGAGATTTTACTAAGGAAAAACTAAAAATTTCTAAAGTTTGTGGACAATTGCAAATATTAGATATATCCTATATGTTTCCAAATATGATAAATGTTAAGTTTCCAATAACTTAGGATCTAGGATCTATCTTTACTTGGGATGTAAGTTATCTTTTATGAGACCTTATATATATATGTATGTGCCGAACACATGAATAATAACATAAAAGAGATAGTTTTAACATAACTTTACAAAGCTTTACAAGGTATCAGAGCCTCCCTTTGGCCTATAATTTTTTTAAAAGAAAAAAAAGATAGGTTTCGAGAAAGAAATCACAAGTACCGATAGAAGCTTGATCTCACCATATTTTTACATGCCTCAATCATACATGGCAAGTACAGACTCCGTTTCTATTAAACGGATCTAACTACGAACGATGGGCAAAGCTCATGACAAAATCTCTTAGGACAAAGAGAAAGTTGGGTTCATCAATGGAACCCTAAAAAGACTTACTGATGAAAACGAAGATGAACGATGAGAGATGGTTAACGCCATGATCATAGGATGGATATAGAGCAGCATCGAGCCACATCTCAGAACTTCAATATCTCTAGTTTCTGATGTTTCTGTAATGTGGTCTGACCTAAAAGCTAGATTCTTCTCTAGGGATGATACCTGTGTTCACCAACTAAGAGCCAACATCGCTGCTTGCAAGCAACATGGACAATCGGTGAAAGTATACTATGGGAAGCTAAAGGTTCTTTGGGATGATCTGTCTGGTTTTGAGGCATCTTTTAATTGCTGCTGTGGAAGTGATGCGTGTTCTTCAATGAAGAAATTCCGTAAGACACAAGAAAAGATATTGATTCATCAGTTCCTTATGGGACTTGATAAGAGCAGATTTGGAACAGCACGATCCAACCTGCTGAGTCGTCTTGGTGAGTATAACATGGAGACCGTCTACTCTAAAATTACAAAAGAAGAGAGACACCTGGAGGTTACTCAAGACAAACCCGAAACAGCATGAGCAATAAGTTTATCTGCAACTGCTGCATCTACAACAACAAAACAGAATCAGTCGGTGTCGTGTTCTCATTGTGGAAAAACGGAGCATGAGAAGCATCAATGTTACAAGCTAATCGGATACCCCGAATGGTTTGGGGATTCAACGGCATCGCCTGGACGTTCTTCTTCTGGACGAGGAAGAGGATCTTACAGAGGCAGAGGAAGAGGTTGTGGTGGACCTTCTGCAAATCAAGTGGATGTAGCTCGAACACAAACGGTTTCTCATATTGGTAGCAATGACTCTGCAGTCACAGATTCGGGTATTCCAAACCTGTCACAGTCCCAATGGAATTATACTGCCAACTTTGTCAACCAGAAACAAACCAAAGACAAACTCTCTGGTAAGCAACAACAACTCGTTCTTTATGGGACATATAGTAAGTATGATTTGATCATCGATTCTGGAGCTTCGCATCACATGACCGGAGACATAAATCTCCTGACTAATCTCAAGCCAATCAACTCGGTAGCTATATCATTGCCGGATGGAGGTGTAGCTTGGTCAACACGCTATGGCACACTAAATCTTGGCGGAAAAATCATTCTTCATCAAGCGCTCTATGCACCTCAGCTATCTATTACTCTGATTTCAGTGTCACAGTTTCTTCAAGATATTGCTAGCTGTGTCATATTTACTAAACAGTTTTGTGTAATACAGGACCTTGCTTCGAGGACTTTGATTGGTGCGGGTGAAGAGCGTGACGCGGTTTATCATCTTACTGGTTCGGTTCTTCCTCAAATCAATCACGCCAGCAAGAAGGATATTAGGAATCTGTGGCATCGACGTTTGGGTCATCTGTCGTCAAAAGTGTTGTCTTATCTTTCAGATTTAGGAAAATTTTCTACTAGCAATAGTGATTTAGATGTGCTTTGCGATACTTGCAATCGAACTAAACAAACTCGTGTATCTTTTCAAGACAGTTCTAATAAAGCAGTTGAGTTGTTTTCTTTAATCCACTGTGACTTATGGGGACCATATAGAGAAAAATCTTCATGTGGAGCATCATATTTCCTTACCATTGTTGATGATTGCTCAAGAGCTCTCTGGACGTTCTTGCTTCTCAAAAAATCTGAAGTAGGGAATCTTCTGAAAAACTTCTTCGCACTTGTGGATCGCCAATTCAACAAGGAACTAAAAATCATTCGAACAGACAATGGTACTGAGTTCACTTGTCTCAAAAAGTACTTCAACTCTCAAGGCATCATTCATCAAATCTCATGCGTTGCAATTCCACAACAAAATGGACGTGGGAACGTAAACATCGCCATATACTCAACATGGCTCGATCACTGCTACTCGAAGCCCACCTACCTATAAAATTTTGGGGTGAAAGTATCCTTGCAGCTACGCACCTGATAAACAGAACGCCCTCCACTCTTCTCCTCGACAAGTCTCCGTTTGAAATTTTGACCAAACAAATGCCAGCATAACAAGACCTACGTACCTTTGGATGTTTATGCTAGGCCAGAAAAGTGCGTCGTTCAACGGATAAGTTTGAAGATCGTGGAGTCCGATGCATGTTTCTTGGTTATCCACATGGCAAGAAAGGTTGGATCGTATTTGATTCAAAGACGGAGGCTACGTTTGTCTCTCGAGATGTCATCTTTCATGAGGACGTGTTTCCATAATCATTCCTGAAACCTCAACCTGAAACTCCAATTCAACAATCTCAGGAAGTGTTCTTTGATGACATAACAATGGATGCAATTACTACATGTGTCGATAGTGCACCAGAGGAAGCACCAGTTACAGTCGGGACAGGGGGAGACCCTTCTGCACAACCCATAACTATCCCTACACATCCAGAACACATCACACCAGAAATGGTGGAACCTGAAACCGATTCATCAGCTGAACAGAGCACATCTCCACCAGTGCTCGGTAGAGGTCACCGAGTCCCAAAACCATCAGTGCTGTTAAAGGACTATGTCACATATTCAGAAAAGATAAATGATAAACCCCCTCAGGCTCCACCGCCACCGGTCTCTAGCTCCTCAAGTAAGTGTCTCTACCCAATAACTGATTACGTCACTTGCGATATTTTCTCTCCATCACAGAAAGCTTTTCTTGCTGCGGTTTTTAAATCAAAGGAACCTAATTGTTTCAAAGAAGCTATGCTGGACAAGGTGTGGAGGGAAGCAGTGGCTACTGAAATCACAGCTCTTGAGGATCAACGTACATGGGATGTGACAAGCCTTCCTCTTGGAAAACACGCCCTAGGATGTAAATGGGTGTTTAAAATAAAATACAACTCCGACGGCACCATTGAGCGTTTCAAAGCACGGCTAGTTACATATGGAAATCAACAACGAGAAGGTGAAGACTTAAACGAAACGTTCGCTCCAGTTGTTAAGCTCACCACCGTGCGTGTTTTACTCAAAATTGCAGCCACTGAAAACTGGAGTCTATACCAGATGTACACAATGCGTCTTCCTCCTGGCTTCTCCTCTCCTTATAAGAATGCTGTCTGTAAACTTCGAAAGTCCCTATATGGTCTGCGACAAGCACCAAGATGTTGGTTCGCCAAGCTTTCTCAGGCTCTACTGCGTTTTGGTTTTGTTCAGAATAAGAAAGACAATTCTCTGTTTTCATACGTCAACAGTACCACAAAGCTCTACATCCTATTCTATGTGGACGATCTTGTAATTGGTGGTAACAATGAAGAAGTTACTGAAAAATTCAAAGCATATCTCAGTAAGTGCTTCCGCATGAAAGATCTTGGTGTTCTCAAATATTTCTTGGGCATAGAGGTCTCACGATCACAGAGTGGAATTTATCTGTCTCAAAGAAAATACACTCTTGATATTATTTCTGAATGTGGCTTTTCTGGTTCGAAGCCGTTTGACACACCAGTGGAACAAAATCACACATTTGGACATGAGGTTGGCGAGTATTACTCTGATCCAGCTCAATATCGCAGGTTGGTAGAATGCTTAGTCTATCTTGTTATCACAAGATCTGAACTGAGCTATGCAGTGCATCTCTTAGCACAATTCATGGCAAAACCACACAAGAAACATTGGGATGTTGGAGTTAGAGTCGTTCGCTATTTAAAGGGATGTCCAGGTCAGGGTCTCTTCTTGGACTCATAACCCTCATTGAAGCTTGAAGTTTATTGTGTTGCAGACTGGTCTGCATGCCCAAGAACAAGACGATCTCTGACTGGTTATATCTTTTTTATGGGAGACACCCCAATATCATGGAAAACAAAGAAACAGCCTACTGTCTCCAGGTCTTCGGCAGAGGCGGAGTACAGATCAATGTCCTGTACTAATTTGGAGTTACAGTGGTTACTCGAGCTACTTACCGCATTTGGCGTGTCTCCAACAGAGCCAATACCGATGTACTGTGACAACAAATCTGCATTGCATATAGCTACAAATCATGTATTCCATGAGCGCACAAAATACATTGAATCTGATTGCCATATAATTTGTGATGGAGTTCAAGATAAGATCATTTCTACAATTCATGTTGGCACTCATGATCAGATTGCCGATTTTCTTACAAAAGCTTTTGGTTGGCGTCAGTTTCACTATCTACTATGAAAGATGGAAGTTCGAGATCTCCGCTCTCCATCTTGATGGGGAATATTAGATATATCCTATATGTTTCCAAATATGATAAATGTTAAGTTTCTAATAACTTAGGATCTAAAATCTATCTTTATTTGGGATGTAAGTTATCTCTTATGAGACCTTCTCATATATATGTATGTACCAAACACATAAATATTAATACAAAAGAGAGAGTTTTGACATAATTTTACAAAGCTTTACAGTAAACAAAGTGAAGCAAGATATTGCTTTCCATTACTATAAAATATAATTAATACTATCAAATACGGAATGGTTATATAAATATAAGCAAGACACTGTCCTACGAAAATTCAAACGCTTTAGACATAGATATGAAGCAAAGTCAGACAAGAAGTGCATATAAACATATTGTATATTATGGTAGCTAAAAATTTGTGAACAAAAAGACAAAAAAGAATAAGCGGAACACGGCCAAGACAAAAAGTGAAACATAAATAGTATATACATGATGTGTATAATATATTGTTGTCTAAGAAATTCAAGATAGACCTAAAATTTTTTTTGTCATAAATATAAACTTTAAAATAAAAAAATCAAAATATATTTAAATGTTTTATTAAAAATTAGTAAATATACACTTATACCTTTTATATTAATTAATTTTAGATTTTTTTTTTAAAGTTGAAAAATGAGTTTTGGGGATAAGATTTTAAATATTAAAACAAAATTTTAAAATTTTCAAATAAAAAATTTTATTTTCGTGATTTTAGTTTTTAAAATCTATTTTTATAATAAAAACTTAAAAATCTTTATTTGAGAGATTTGTCGTTGTTGTTTTACGTCGGAAAACAATTTAAAATTTGAGAAAAAAAGATAAGAACCTGGCGGTTTCAGGCATGAGCATTCGCCAGTAAAACGTTAACGCGGCGGGAATAGCACCGATCATCAGAATCAACCTCCAAGCAATATCCGCCTCCGCCGGAGCCAAAGTCTCCACCCCAGCCGCCTCCATTTTCTCCAAACTCCCCTCTCCAGCCAACTTAAACGCCTCACACACAGCCATCGTCACGGCTGAGCTCATCAAGATCCCCAACCCCTGCATCGAGAACACAGCTGCGATAAAAGCCCCACGCGTCCTTTTATTAGCGAACTCCGACATGATCGTGGCGGAGAGAGGGTAGTCTCCACCGATCCCTAGCCCGAGGACGAATCTAAAGAATGCTAAACTCGTCATGACGCAAGAACGGCGAGTGGTGCAGACGGAGAAACCGCAGCCGAAGGAGCTGAACACCATGATTAAGAGACAGAGACCGTAGACTTTCCTGCGTCCGACACGGTCGCCTAAGTAGCCGAAGATGAGTTGTCCTAAGGCGGTGCCGAAGAGAGCGATGACGTAAGAGATGGAGAGAACGGCGGTTCCCATGGTGTCTTTGTGGTAATAGATTTGGCTGATCATTTTCATGATCGGAGCTATGCAGAAAAGATCGTATGCGTCGGTGAAGAGACCTAATCCGGCGATCATTATCGCTTTGAAATGGTACCATTGTATCCTCGCCGCATCTAACGCCGATAACACTCTTAACTCCGGCATCGTCCGTTGAGTTGGTATAATTTTTCAAAAAAAAAAAAATTTGGAAGAGTTCGTTGAGACACAAACTGAGAAACTATCGAAGTCATCTGTCTCTCTCTGTCTCTTCATTATATTGTCAGAAGAGTTTTGTGTTTGACTGCGATGAACACAACACCTCCCCTGGATGGACTCCACTTCCTTTAGTTGACTTTTCTTTTTTTTATAAAATCTGATTATAAAAGTCATATTAAGTTTCCTTTTTCACGTCTGTTCTCATGACGGGCACACACAGAAGAATGTTTCTTTGCTTTAAATAATTTTTTTTAATAACTCTATGGATGATTTAAAATTTATATAATTAAGTTTATAAATTAAACTCAGCAAAAAATTGGACAAATGTCATGAACTAGCACTTTTTTTTTTGTTTTTCTCACATAAATAATACTCAAATAGAAAAATCCTCAAACCAACATATTCAATTTGCTCAAAAACAAATCCATTTCACATCCGACCATTTTTTTCTCAGTCTAAGAGCATCTACACAACACAAATAACTTAGTTTAATGGAAAGAGAACCGAACTATGAAGTTGGGATGCGTACACCGAGCTTGACAACAACAACTTCAAAGATCCCATCAGGTCTAAACTTTGGAGAAAACAAGCGAGGGTCCACTTGTCCCGGGAGATTAAACGTGATCGTAAATGGACCAGGCGGGCTGAGCTGCTGCACTTGCATTCTGTATAAGCACCCTGAATCGCTAGGAATCGCAATCTCAGGTACTACTCCTTGAATGCATACTCTCCCCTCTCTCTGAATCTCACATTTGATCTTATCTAGTTAAAAAAAAATACAGCATTTAAGATCACAGTTCTTTCACCATGTTACTATGAAACAAAAAACAATGATACATACATTCCCTCTCTCTCTCTCGGCTCTTTGATTATCCCAAAAATGGTGGTATTACTGAAAGGGCATAGATAGAAAATGTGAAAGGTTACCTTGGTTTTTGGCAATGCCAGGTAGAGAGACTCTGAAGATGTAAGCAATATCGCTCACACCAATATCGACAAGACCAATGGGTGGCCCAGCACAGCCTTGCTTAGCTGTACCGGTGAAAAAGACATGTGAGATCACTTTAGAGTGAATGGTGGTTGTCTGATGATTCTCAGGGTTCATGGTGTTGATGAGTTTGTGCTTTTCCACAAGGGATAAAAACCCAAACTAACCTATTAAGGAAGATAAACAAAACAAAGAAAATCAAATCAAATCAGTAAGCAAAGTTTGATCCTTTCAAACTCCAATTTCTACCATTCTGTAAGAACATTGAAAAAGATTAAAACTTTCGATGATGATAAGCTATACAGATGAGTTAATTAATCTAAAGCTCAATCAGAGTTCAATTTGGGATCGTCTGATTAAACCCTAGTATAAACAGCGATATAGCTATGAATTAGGGATCTTTGGCGAATGGCGATAAAGAAGTCACTCGAGCACGAGTTGATAATCAATGAAGCAAAGAGAGAGAGAGATGTGTGTGTGAGTGTAGGTACCGTAGCCGGTGAGTCTTTGATGATGTTGTTTCGGCGCTTGACCGTCGTCAATGGATTAGCTAAACCGGTGGTGATTTTTTTAGAGTCGGGGAGGATGAAGTAACTGGTTAAAGTATCCAATCTATAGAGGTCACGTGTCAATTACATTGTTGACCAACCTGACTAGCCACCGTGTAACCAAATATTAAACAAAAACATTACACTAGTAAAAACAAATAAAAAAATATATATATTGAATTTTTTTTTAAATTAACAGCAAATAAACATTTTTTTTTAAAAAAAAATATATATATATACATATTCAAAAAATTTAAATTTATTTTTGCATATAAACATAATTTTAGTATTATTACTTAAAATAAATAAATTATATATAATTTTTATATAAATTCTTATTATGGTTATTGGTAGAGTATTAAATGATTAATCTATTTATTTTTAAATAATATAAATATATTTATATCTATAATATATAATTATATTAAATTTAGGTTTATTATTAAAAATAATGGTTGATATGTGTAATTATATAAACTATATAATATTTAAATGTGAATTACTACTTTTAAATTAAAAAAAATTAATTATATTTTTTGGAAAAGAATTATGTATAATTATTTTAATTTTTATATTTTCTAACTACAAATGATCTTCCAAAAGTTCAGAAATGAATGATTCATCTGTCTAGATAGAGTATATATTAACCGGAATGCATGAGGTGTTATGAATGTGGTCTATTGTTAATCAACAGAATCTATGAAAATACTTTATTTTGTTTATAGAAATACTTACTCTATGAATATGAAGGTATAGCGAATTAATGATTAATTAGGGATACTCAGAAATTAAATACTTTATTTTTATAAAATAAATTTTGTACTATAGTCTATTATTTCTAACATATGTTAAGTATTTATAGTAGTCTGGTGATAAAAACTTTGTTTGAAAAATAAACAACCTCGGTTTGATTCTAACTAATCCATTTTTTATTTTTTCAGAGTGGATCCTACAAATATGCTGATGTGTCATTTTAGAAGTGAACAAACTGCCCTACTATTGTATAGATTGTTGTTAATTAATTAACAAAGTAAGATGACAAAAAAATTACCAAAATAATCAGCAAAGTACCGTTAAACAATTATAAGTGTATATTTAGAAGAAAAAAAGTGTATATTTAGAAACGGTGAAAAGCAATTTTACGGTACCAGTTCATAATTTCATGGGGTATTTTTTATTATCAGATCAGATTCAGATTGAGGTTTATATGAATTACTCAAAAATATTTGAATTACTAAGAAAATCTGTAAAAACTATGTAAAATTATCAAACCGTATTCAAATATCTAAATTAACAGAAAATACAGTATAGATCTAGGTTCTCTAAAACTATTCTAAAATGTTCAAAATTTTGTAAAAAAAAATGACAAAATTCATTAACTTCAAGTTTAATTACACCTTTTTTACTCTGAAGTATTCATCTTTTAAATTATAATATTCAGTTCATTTTTTAAACTAAACTCAGTTGAGTTGCTTCGAATTTTGTATTCGTTTTACCACTCTTATTATTTGACAACTCATTGTGAAAATTACATAAAATACCCCAGTTTAAATTTGTTAAATCTTTTAATACCTAAATTTTGCGTTACCTAGTCTAATACCTCAAATAATTATTTTTCTCATTTTAATCTACAAACTTTAAAAATTATGTCAATTTTAATACCTAAACTTTTTTGTTTTAATTACAAATATTAAATCGTTTTATTTTTTTTCTAAAATCTCTAAAACTTACAAAAAAAATCTCCAAAAAATCTCATTTTATTTTCTGTTTGAGAAATAAAAGAAAAATAAATTTATATAGTCTGAAATTTTGCAATAAAATAATTAAGTGATAAATACTGAATTTATTTTATTTTATGAAATAGTAAACAAAATTTATTTCCTTCAAAATTAAAATTCTAAAATTAAAAAATTTTCCCTAATTTATTTACCTTCTTTCCTAACTATGAAAATAAAATGCTGAATTTTTAATATTTTCCTTAGATTTTAGAGATTTTGTTTCAAATTTTGTTTGAAAATTATAGAAAATTCTATTAAAATAAACAAAGTTTGTGTATTAAAATGGGCATGAATTTAAAAATTGTGTATTAAAATGGATAAAAAATTAGTTAGAGTATAAATTTGAATAGCGAAAAAGTTTGGATATTAAAATTCTTAAATTGTATGGGTCGAAACTAGGTTTTTGCTAATAACAATATACGGCATTGATCATCATTTCTAAAAGGATAAGTAAATCAAAATTTTGATTTCTATATAATAATTTCCAAAACTCAAATATAATGCTGTTTTAAATCTAATATTTATATTATCTTTGTCCTTAAGCTGCAATATTTCTTATAAAAATTCCTGTCTCTTTAAATTTTAAGTCAAAAACTAATATTTATTTTCCGCTTAAAGCTATATATAAACCAAATATGAAAGAAAACGATCCATAGAAGAATACTGGAAACCGTTGTCAGCTCTTGGTTTTCATAAAAGTAATTATCTATATATTTTTAATATGATGCGTATATATTATATTTTATAAGCCACACTATGTGTATTAGATATAAAATTTTAAAGCTAATTTTTGTTGTGTCATTTTTTTTTTTGGCTTTTATCGCTCAACAAAAGTATTGCAGACTCGCTCACTCTCAACACGTAAAATAATTTGAAGGTTCTCAAGTCTTTTCACATAACTTAATACGACACCGTCCCGAGTGAAGAATCTATTCCTCTCTTGCCCTAAAGCGAGTTAGGGCTTAAATTTTAAACACACAAGTAGCACCCTTTTGATTTGTGTCTCTTTGCTCTGTTCTTGTCGGTTTGTGTAACCGATCAACTCAACCTTTTGGCTCCTCACTCCCTGAAATTTGACTTCTCTATTGGGTCTCACCNCCCTAAAGCGAGTTAGGGCTTAAATTTTAAACACACAAGTAGCACCCTTTTGATTTGTGTCTCTTTGCTCTGTTCTTGTCGGTTTGTGTAACCGATCAACTCAACCTTTTGGCTCCTCACTCCCTGAAATTTGACTTCTCTATTGGGTCTCACCAAAAGTTTCTCTATATGAAGATCTCTTCACCCTCACAACTTCATTATATTTGAGCCACAAGAACAAGAACTAGTACATGCGTCCGTGATGGACGGTGGTTACGATCAATCCGGTCAAACTTCTAGATACTTCAAGGCTTGATGGTATCTGCGCTAGAGTCAGGATTCCAGGCTTTGATGATATAGGGAAGCATGTTGGCTACTGGATTGAGGTCCTTTTTTATCATAGCGTCCGTCTTCAAGGTGACGTTGCAATCGAGAACTTTTATATCCCACGCTTTTATGTCCACAACCACCGCTATCCAGTGTAATGGCTCAATATAGAGAGGGAGATAGATAAAGCCTGCCGGGTTACCTCGAACACGAAGAATCACATCATCTGTGAACTTAAATTTCGGACGTAACTGGACACCCATCTTGACGAACTTTGGGTAGATGTTCTTCATAGCAGTAGGGAGGCTCATGTCGAAGACTTTGATAGACTTGCCGGGCACTTCGTGCTCAACAGCCAGGAAGCGCATTATAGTGTTGACAGTCTGCAGAAATATAATGTTATTATAGAACACTATACTTTCATATGTAGATGGGAGTAAAAGTTTGAGTGTTACCAGAGGAGACATTCTACTTTTCCTAAAAGCAATGTCCACAAACTCGGCACCAGTCAGAGCGGATGGACCATCCAAGTGAATAAACCTAGAAAATAATTAAACAAGGTTAAATGTTTTATTATCGGATAAATAAAATGTTGGCAGGTAAGACGAATATTTCCAGTAAATTGTCGAAGTACACTAACCCCGTGGGTAAAATCCGCTGCCTCATCTGGTCGAACAATTTGTGAAGATCAGGAAGGACGCGGAATCCATGCTTACTCTTGGGGTCTAGCTCATAGTCTTGTAAAGCAGATGGGGGGGATTGTTTGTCTTTGGACTCTTAGTGGGTCCAGTGTGTCGGATGATTGCCCAGCGGGAGGAAGCACAACTGTAAGTGGAGCAGGCTGAAGATCACGCTCTGATGCCTCTAATTGGGTGAGGCCAATAGAAAATGAGGGAGGCTCAATATCCAGCTGAGATGATTCCCCCTAAGAAAATATAAGATCATATACAATCAGAAGTGAAAACAGGATAACAATATTAGTAGATGAGTCATTACATGTACTACTTCTTAGGTACTTGTTCCAGTAGCCGTTTCGACAGTCGCCAGCGTCATTGACCATCGCTCCAGTTCCTGCAAACATCAATAGTATAGTGGTCATATATACCATCTAACAAAATTGTTGTATGTTAACTGTTTTGTTAACCGGCAAACTATTAAGAAAACGTAAAATTAATATTTTCCCGAAAACCTTATCAGAGATGGCTTCTGTGTTAATGGGATCGATAGATGGGCGGTCTCTGAGTGGCTGATTATTGACATTTCCAGAAGGATCAACATGTATTAGCGGTGGAGTTAGAAGCTTATGTTAGTGAAAAAACTTTTGTCAAACTGGAGGATAAGGATTACCATGGATGGAAGAGTTGTGACAGCATGGATTGTGGTCTCAGATGTTGATTCGGCTTCAGGGTTGAAGGGAGATATATTACCAGCATCCTACGTAATAAATGATTTTAGAATAATGAGTAGATACCATTTTGTAAACACAGCAAATTGTTTAAATTGTGGGAAAAATATTTTTTAACAGTTATCAGAGGGTTTAGCAGATAACCTCTGTGGTCAGAATCTATGTTCTCTCGTGCTGTGGAGGGGCTTTTGTGTTGGCATCTTGCTGAGAGACATTTCCGTCTACATTTGCGTCTACATTTGCCTACTATGATAGGGTGATTGGTATGTGTTAAGGGGTAGTAAGTAAGTAATTAGTTGAAGATAAAATATCGCGAACCTCTTGATTGTGTGATGATGCTTGAAGGTCATCTAAAGTGCGCCTGATGGACTGGTTTACTAGAGGTTGAGGATCGTCAACGGCCATCTCTTCAGCGCCTTCGTGATCAGTCGCTTCCCCATGTCCACTCAACGTTGGGCTTGCTGGGTTTGGCGGATGGCGTGGTGGGACGTCTGAAATGCTAGGCGTAGAAGATGTTGTCTTTTTCAGGTAATCGATAATGGCCTTTATAACCCCCCTTTTCATCGAATGGATGTTGTCTACAACACATTTTGTTAGTCTTGTCTCCATAGCCTTCATTTTTGACTGTAATTGTTGGTCCACGGCCTTAGCTATGCGAGACTCCACAGAGGCAAGTTCTTCGTGAATCTTCCATGAGACGATGTTGGCAATAGGATCAACAGCACCTTGGCCCGGCGGCGGAACCTCTGATTGATCACCCATATCAGCGGGAATTTGTTTGTGTTTAGGCTGTTTACCCTTCTGTTTATGTCCCCTTAACTTTTGAAGCTCGCTAGATGTTATACCTCCCTTGAACATCTTGTTATCGAATAGGAACCCTTCGTTGATGAGCTTCACCATATTATCTACGGTGGGATCATCTTCTTCGTCGGGCCATGAGAAGTCATGTTGTAGATACCACTCCTCGTCAGGGTCGCTCAGTATTGATCTAAAAGCTACCTACATAAACATAATAGAATTGCCGTAAATGTTTCATGGTAATAATACATTTATCCAAAAAGTGCTTCTGTAATCGTTAAGAGCGACATTTTCAGTTAACGGTCTTATTTCCCGGTAAAGTATTAATTTACGACTAATTACCACATTATCTTTACAAAACGAAGATTAACTACTAATATTTTACACAGGGATGAGAAACTATACCATAATATAAAAAGATTAATACGCATTCGTTTTCAATGTATTAGCCGTAAATAATTGTTAGAACAGTAACAATTATTTTTTACCGGTAACAACATTCTTGGTGTCACTAACCTGGCACTCTGAGTTGAGTTCTCTCGCATTGCGCGGGTTAACAACAAAATTTATCGGAAGATGGCAAATCCTCCGCATCCCTTTCCTCGACTAAATGCGGTGCTTCCTCTTCCGCATCCATTTCACCCTCGCTTTCGGAAAGAGCAACAACAACGGGAGCAGAGTGAACCACCTCTTCTTTCAAATCAGGAACAGCGGCGATAAGCACCAGTTGAATGGCTTCAACATATCCCTTTAGGGCAAATGAATCTTGCGCTAATGAAACTGCATCCTTCTTGAGTAAGTGATTCGAAAGATTTTGAAAGGAAGTCCTTCCCCAAGGGAGAGCGAGGAACTCATCAAGATCTCTTATCATCTCAACGTGATCCGGGAGAATCTTCGGAGAGTGTGAGATTGGGACTAAAATAGAAGCGGTTATTGCTAAAGAAGCGATTTTGAGACGAGTATCCTTATCCTTAACCTTCCTTGTCTTCAGCATATCAATCACCGTATCCACACTACAAGACTTGAGCGAGCCAAACAAGTCATTCCAATAGAGCTTCTCGTGTAGAGGATTCTTCCTTTTCTTACGCTTTGATTGTGGAACCCTATCACAGTTGATGCCGGTGACGATTGCAAACTCTCTAAGAGATATCCTTATTGGGTATCCAGCAAAAACAAGCCAAATCTCGTACAGCTTGCGGGTCTTCAGCATACAAACACAAACAAAGTGACAGAACGCGCCGGAGAAAGGAGGATTATCATCGAGAGAGAGGACCTTCGAGAATTGAGTTCGGTGGAAAAAGGCTAACTCGTCTTCGTCTAATGCTTCAATTAGTTGCTCTATTCTTCGATACTTGTGGTAAGAGACGACTCTGTCGCCTACTGGTTCATCACCACAAGCAAAAAAGCGTCTAGGAAGATTGAGATCGGCCATCGGAGGATTTTTAAGAACAAAGTCAGAAGTTTTTCAGTTTAAAATACAAGATTGAAAGTAGTGGGAAGATGGAAAGTTGAATTGGAGAGGGAGGTTACTATTCGGAATGGTGGGATAAATTTTCTCAGTTACAGAAATTAATGACGAAATTCAAATTTCGAAAATGGAAAAGCATGCATTCGATTTTACTGGAAAACAAAACGGTTGACGGGAAATAAATCACGCGTGGGTGGCGCTCTGACACAGCTACCTGTAGGCGCGTATGTCTACAAAAATAGGTTATCAATACACGGAAGGACAAAATCGTCCGACGAAAAGTAACTATCAAATCAAGGTTAATTCGCTAATTATAGATGTGATTTAGGATACTTTAGCCAATTAACTCTTTTTTTCAGAGTGGATCCCACAAATATGCTGATATGTCATTTTAGAAGTGAACAAAGTGCCATACTATTATATAGTTTGTTGTTAATTAATCAACAAAGTAAGATGACAACAAAAGTACAAAAATAATCAGCAAAGTATCGTTCAACAATTATAAGTGTATATTTAGAAAAAAAAGTGTTATAAAATGTGTATATTTAGAAACAGTGAAAAGCAACTTTACGGTATACCAGTTCATAATTTCATAGGGTATTTTTTATTATCAGATCAGATTCAGGTTGAGGTTTATATGAATTACTCAAAAGTACTTGAATTACTAAGAAAATCTGTAAAAACTATGTAAAATTATCCAAACGTATTCAAATATCTAAATTAACAGAAAATACAGTGTAGATCTAGGTTCTCTAAAACTATTCTAAAATGTTCAAAATTTTGTAAAAAAAAATGACAAAATTCATTAATTTCAAGTTTAATTACACCTTTTTTTAATCTGAAGTATTCATCTTTTAAATTATAATATTCAGTTCATTTTTTAAACTAAACTCAGTTGAGTTGCTTCGAATTTTGTATTCGTTTTTACCACTCTTATTATTTGACAACTCATTGTGAAAATTACATAAAAATACCCCAATTTAATTTCGTTAAATCTTTTAATACCTAAATTTTGCGTTACCTAGTCTAATACCTCAAATAATTATTTTTCTCATTTAAATCTACAAACATTTAAAATTATGTCAATTTTAATACCTAATTTTTTTTGTTTTAATTACAAATATTAAATAGTTTTAATTTTTTTTTTCTAAAATCTCTAAAACTTACAAAACAAATCTCCAAAAATTCTCATTTTATTTTCTGCTTGCGAAATAAAAGAAAAATAGATTTATATAGTCTTAAATTTTGCAATAAAATATTTAAGTGTTAAATACTGAATTTAGTTTATTTTATGAAATAGTAAACAAAATTTATTTCCTTAAAAATTAAAACTTTAAAATTGACAGTTTTTTCCCTAATTTATTTACCTTCTTTCCTAACTATGAAAATAAAATGCTGAATTTTTAATATTTTTTCTTGGATTTTAGAGTTTTTGTTTGAAATTTTGTTTGAAAATTATAGAAAATTTTATTTAAATAAACAAAGTTTGTGTATCCAAATGATCATGAATTTAAACTATGTGTATTAAATTGGAAAAAAAAAATTAGTTAGAGTATAAATTTGAATAGCGAAAAAGTATGGATATTAAAATTCTTAAATTGTATGGGTCGAAATTAGGTTTTTGCTAATAACAATATACGGCATTGATCATCATTTCTAAAAGGATAAGTAAATCAAATTTATGATTTCTGTATAATAATTTCCAAAACTCAAATATAATGCTGTTTTAAATCTAATATTTATATTATCTTTGTCCTTAAGCTGCAATATTTCTTATATAAATTCCTGTCTCTTTAACTTCTAAGTCAAAAACTAATATTTATTTTCCGCTTAAAGCTATAAACCAAATATGAAAGAAAACGATGCATAGAAGAATACTGGAAACCGTTGTCAGCTCTTGGTTTTCATAAAAGTAATTATCTATATATTTTTTGAAATGATGGGTATATATTATATTTTATATGCCACACTATGTGTATCAGATATAAAATTTTAAAAGCTAATTTTTGTTGTGTCATTTGTTTTTTTTTTTTTTTTTGTCTTTTATCGCTCAGCAAAAGTATTGCAGACTCGCTCACTCTCAACACGTAAAATAATTTGAAGGTTCTCAAGTCTTTTCACATCACTTAATACGACACCGTCCCGAGTGAAGAATCTATTCCTCTCTTGCCCTAAAGCGAGTTAGGGCTTAAATTTTAAACACACAAGTAGCACCCTTTTGATTTGTGTCTCTTTGCTCTGTTCTTGTCGGTTTGTGTAACCGATCAACTCAACCTTTTGGCTCCTCACTCCCTGAAATTTGACTTCTCTATTGGGTCTCACCNCCCTAAAGCGAGTTAGGGCTTAAATTTTAAACACACAAGTAGCACCCTTTTGATTTGTGTCTCTTTGCTCTGTTCTTGTCGGTTTGTGTAACCGATCAACTCAACCTTTTGGCTCCTCACTCCCTGAAATTTGACTTCTCTATTGGGTCTCACCAAAAGTTTCTCTATATGAAGATCTCTTCACCCTCACAACTTCATTTTATTTGAGCCACAAGAACAAGAACTAGTACATGCGTCCGTGATGGACGGTGGTTACAATCAATCCGGTCAAACTTCTAGATACTTCCATAACCTCTTTAGGCCTGAGCTTCACCCCCAGCTTCAACCACAGCCACAGCCTCAGCCTCAGACTCAGCCTCAGACTGATGATGAATCTGACTCCAACAAGGGTCAACCTGATTCCGACCAGGTTACCTCGGGCTCAACTTCCGGGAAGCGTCCACGTGGACGTCCTCCAGGATCTAAAAACAAGCCGAAGCCACCGGTGATTGTGACAAGAGATAGCCCCAACGTGCTTAGATCTCATGTTCTTGAAGTCTCATCTGGATCCGACATAGTTGAGAGCGTCAACACTTACGCTCGCCGGAGAGGGAGAGGTGTCTCCATTCTCAGTGGTAACGGCGCGGTGGCTAACGTCACTCTCCGGCAGCAGCCGGTGATGACTCATGGGAACAATGGTGGAACTGAAGCCGGAGCGGGAGGGGTTGTGACTTTGCATGGAAGGTTTGAGATTCTTTCCATCAATGGTACGGTGCTTCCGCCGCCAGCACCGCCGGGATGCGGTGGTTTGTCTATCTTTGTTGCTGGTGAACAAGGACGGATGATCGGAGGAAACGTGATGGCTCCGCTTGTGGCTTCTGGTCCAGTGATACTGATAGCTGCATCGTTCTCTAACGCAACTTTTGAAACGCTTCCGCTCGAAGATGAAGGAGGAGGTGGAGGTGGAGGTGAGGGAGAAGTCGGAGGAGGAGGTCCACCGCCGGTCACTTCCGAAAGGCCGCATTCTGGAGCCGCTCAGGGAGAGCTAAGAGGTAATATGAGTGGTTATGATCAGTTTACCGGTGATCCTCATTTGCTTGGTTGGGGAACAGGATCCGCTTCAAGACCATCATTTTAGATTTGAAAATTATGTCCGTAAATTACATGTAACCTAAATTTCAACTGAAAATAAAAATAATAATTTCATGATAATAATATTGTCATTCTGTGTTCTTTTGGTTTTGAATTTAGTTTAGCATAATATATATAATCATTTGATTCGTCTTTAGGTATACTTCTCCATCTACATTTCTCTTATTTTTTTTTAATTTTAATCACTATGGTTCTGTGCTGAACCCAATATATTATTTGTTATATGCTTGAATTCACAAAGATAAATTGATATAAGAAGCCAATTTATGAACATATTCAGTTCACTCCTCACACGCATATACTTGGCTCATATTAGTATCCGCAGTCCCCTTTTTGGGGTAGATATGAAAGCTAAGGTAGTCACTAAATGTATATATGTTACTATGTATCTCAAGTCAACTACTGGATCAAAGATCTTGTTCTTGTTCATTTTCATTCATTTGGTTACTACATATTATGAAATCCTCAAGATTGTGATTTGGAAATCTTATGAATATCTTGTTCAAATATTCATGTACTAAAGAGCCTTATACAACCTTAGCATATTGAAGGCCTTCAAAACAAGTTAATGCTTAGGAACCTGATTTAGTGATATATGTTTTAACCAACTGGGTTTTACTTTTTTTTTAAGGATGGAATCGATATCAATCTTTCTTCGGTCTTATCGCTCAATCATGAAAATAACGCTTCAAAAACTTACAAAAAATAACGCTTCAAAACTTACAAAAAATATATTCAGTTATAACAATAAAAACATATCATTAGAAAAAAAATATTTATACGTTACAACGATATAAACATACCAAAGGAGATAGTTTTGACGGTTACAACGATTCAATTAAAGGCAGAAACGCAAGAACGTTACATGACCTGCCAAAACCAAATCCGAAACAAGAAAAACATTTTGCTTTGAGTTGCATCAGCTTCCCTTTAGATGATCAGGAAACTCTGCAACATCAGCCAGTGGAATTTTGAGTACCAAAATGTTTGAAAATGAGGAATGAATCCAGTCCCTAGGGAAGATATGTAGTGACAATTTGGAAACATATATTTTTATAAGGATTATATAATATAATTCAATGTAGTATGCATATGTAGGGAAATAGTTTTCATAACCAATGCAATGTTCAAATGTGATGAAATATGTATCTCAAATAAGATGAAAACTAGGATATAATTTGCGTCTTGCGCGGAGTAAAAGTTGATTAAATAAAAATTTAGTCAACATTACATATTCTATGTCTGATGTTTTGTTGAAGAATATACTGTGTAATAATGTATACGAATTAATTTTTGACCAAAAAAATGTATAAGAATTAACATGTTTATCAAAATAATGAACGCTGGGCTTTAAAATCTAGTGTTTGGGTCTTGTGGCAAATGGTTGGTCGGATTTCAGTGTCTTTGGTAAATAATGGTAGGGAAAGAGTTTTCATAACCAATGTAATATTCAAATGTGGTGAAATATGTATCTCCAATAAGATGGAAATGATTTTTTATCAGTGTAAGAATATGAATAATTTTTCTAGATCTTGTCGGAATATCTCATGTTAATTAAAAAAAGAATAAATTTTAATTTATTTATTTTTACTTTTTTCAACAACATGCATTTCGATATTAACATGAATAGTGACATCAACAGCACAGCAGTACTACAATGTAAACTACTAGGCTACATATCTTGGTCAATTTCAACTTTACATTATAAGACGAGAATGAGAGATGGATACAACCTTTTCCTTTAAATGATCACATATAAAGAGTTGGCTTTTTATGTATTGAAGTATAGCGAATTCAAGGGTATTGTACTTTGGGGACCTTTTAGGTACATGCAACAGAAAACTATATTTTGATGATTTTGTGATCGTACGTGTCATGTGCCTTGCATGCAATTCAGCGACACAATACTCAGGACAGAAAATTCGACTTTATTGTTTATTCAACTTTCTGTACGAATCTTTGTTTAGTGTGTGTTTTTCCTATATACACTGATAATCAGGCCCTGAAGTTTTCAAAGTTAACCACACAAGCCTGGATTACTGTGAGACTGGAAATGTGTTAAACACTCCGGATTCGAAATCTACAAACTCAGATTTACTCGTTTGTGTGGACAAATGGTATGGATATCTAATTTCCATGGCGAACAATCAGATCTGAACGGTGTCGATGGAAAAATTTTCATGGGACCAATCGGTTGGGCCTCGGTCTGCCGGATACCCCAAATTATAAAAAAAAAAATTTAAAGTCTTAAATAAATTAACATAAATATTTCTTTTAATAATTTTGGAATCTATGTTTATATGTATTAACTCAAAAAAGTTTGGAATCTCAGTGCAATTATTTCATCTGGTTGTACCCAGCTGATAAATAAGCATAAATGCAAATTGTATGCCTATAATTGGATTGATATATAGAATACGATACAGAAAGTATAATAGGCCGAGTTTAAGGCCCAAATTCGGTCCACAAAGTACAGAGTGAAATAACATTCCAAATTCATAACCAACAGTTATTGTTGATTGCATTGCATCCTGCATTATCAGGAGCAGCCTTTCTACTAAATTGTGAACATTTCATATTTTAAACAGTAATAAAGTGTAATCTAATATTTCCTGAAAATTAAAAAGGTCTGTTAACTTCAGTGCAACTTTGCGATTGTTGGAATTTGAATGATCTTGATTTTGGGCATTCATGATTTTGATTTTATTAATAAATCGTATTGGGTGGTCAGATAACATATATCTATAGTGTTTTTATAGTTGTTGTTGACAACCTCAGACTCAAGTTATCTACAGTATATCGATCCTACGACTGATATCCTACGGTATAATGGGAAACAAGAGACACTTACACTAAAGGACACAATGTCACTTTCTTGATCGCTCAAAGACACTTCTTCAAATTGACACACAATATGAAGCTAGCTGTTAATTTTAAGACAAAAATAACCCTAGTTCTCTATAAAGAAAAGATTATTGCTGTTAAAAGGTAAGTTGTCGTTGGTGAAATGTAACTAGAAGAAATTAAAGTTTGGTTGAATTACAATAAATGAAAAAGAGATAGAAAATAAGCATATATATATTTTATTAATCTTATTAACTATCTCTACTACTTGTCCATGACCACAACTATTAGTAATATATACACGATCAAAAACTAATGTTGTTATCTATCCATAAATATGTACACGACCACAAGCATTGGATATACACACAAATCCAGCAACCACAACCTAACATCATTAACAATCCACCACCACCACATATCCATGATACCATGATTTTGCATTTGGTGAACAAGATAACATGATTTTCAGTTTATGGGGAGATACATGAGGGTTGGGGATGAAACTCCCAAGGTTAGTGGTCGAATTGGGGTTCTCATGTGTGTTGTGGATGGACTCTCATGGTTAGTGCGATTGTTGTGGTGGTCGGTGTGTTGTGGTTGGGACTTTCGTGGTTAGGGAGAGTCTTGTTTTGGTCGAGTGTTGTGGTCAAGCACTGGTGGTCAGTGGGTGTATGGATAAACAAAACAATATTAAAGAAAAACCATGTGCAAAAAAAAATCAATTTTGGAAGAATAATCGTTTTACGAACAACAAGTATCCATATTCATGGATCCAATCATCAAGTACAAAAGATAAAATTCACGGTCTACCTACCACAAAGGATTCACGGTCTATCTACCATAAAAGAAAAAAAATAAACTTAAAGATACAGAGGAGGAACAAAGGAGATTCCTTCATTGATATTTGATTGCAGACAACAAGTACGGGGGACGGTGGAATATGGTTCAGTTTCTCTGAACTCTCATGAAGAAAAGTTTGTTTTATTTTCTGGATTGAAAAGATATTGAGAGGAAAATGTTAGATTTCACTATAGATTTTTTTTTGGATTTGAAGAATCTAAAGAGATAAGAAAAAAATCCAGAGACAGAAGAAATTATGTTCTAGATCTAGAGAAGAGAGATTGTGAGTGGTTAGAGATTGAGAGATAAGATTATTTGTTTAAAAAGGAAAAAAACAAAAGTGATTTGCTTTTTAGAAAAACTAACGAAGGAAAGAAGAAGAGAAACCATCTCATTCTCTAGTTAGAGGTTATTTTGGTCCATTTGCTCTCATAAAGTGTCTTATATGTTGAATGTGTCTTTTAGTGAAATTAAGAATTGAAATTGTGTCTCCTAGAGTAAATATTTCGGGGAACAATGGGTCTTGATAATTTCAAGTCGAGCGTTGAGCCGTAGATTAGATTCTATCATGAATAAATCAAGAGGAGCTTTTGTTTAGAAGCTCAGTTTATGGCAGGGCAATACTCGCTTATGCTGTGTTGGGGAGCTTTGGGACGCGCTTCTTGTTGCTACCAATAATTCGCTAGACGATAGATGGCAATAAAAAGAACATATTTGTATTATCTACATCATTATCTCTACGTATCCAGCAAGAACCACGAATTAATATGGTACATTTCACATATCGTAGTCTATGTGACGAAAGGCATGACGAGTGTCCGATATAATTCTGGTCTCAGACAAAGCCTGATTCATATTTGTATTCATGCATGTACATACGACAGTCTAGGGAAACAGACAGAGAATTACTCACATGAGTTTTCCAAATTTTGTGGAAATTATTTTTCTCTTATATTTTCTAGATTTTATCTTTCTTACTTCACACGTTGGTGTATCTTTTAGATATTTTATATCTATTTCATGAAATATATTAAAACTAATCATCTACAGAGAGGGTTGATATATACATGTAAATTAGAATCTATTTCACCAAATATATATAGATAAGTCCTTATGATTTGAAACATTTTTTCTTGTTGGTTCTGGTAAAAGTAAGAATTCAGAAACTTATGAGTTACCATACGTTGAATCAAACAAAGAGCTATTGAGAGCTACGTATCTATGGTACATTTTGAACTTTTTCACGCTGAACGAATACAAGAAAAAAAAAAGCAGGGGGGGGGGGGGTACAAATCTGAGCCGACTCATGCGGATACCAAGCTGTGCAATATTTATAACGTTAAAATCAAAATAATACTCATTAGAATAAAAATATAAATGTCTCATCCCATAGCTATGGAATAATTTTGTTTTTTTTGTTGAATTATAGACACGAATATCGAGTAAAGAGGCGGCCAATGGCCATGCAAGCTGGGTCGTCCTTGAAATTTTGGGCGCCTAAGAAAATATTTTAATCATTTCAACTAAATTTTTTTTTTGTCGGATTTGGGGGCTTAAAATTTTTTGAGGTGGGGGGGAAGGGACTATATACATATAACTTTTTAAAAAAAAATTGGGGTCCCAAAGTGAATGTTTCATCCGGCTTGACCCAGGACCGGCCATGCATGCAAGTGTGTGAATTCTCTAGAGAGGCATATTCTCTTTTGACTTATTCTTTGTTTCACCATCCAATATGATTACATCATTTCATATTTGATATCTTTTTAAAAATGAAACAAAATCTTATTAAGTTATATTATGTTTTTAAAAATAAAAATACAAAAAAAATAAGAAAAATAATAACTAATAAAAACGAAAATAATTATTTTTAAAGAAAATATTTTAACACTAAACTCTAAAATTCAATCTTAGGTAAATCACAAACGTTTGAATAAATCTATAAAAATTTAGTGTTTATGATTTATCCAAGGGTTTAGGGTTTAGGATTTGAATTTAGGGTTTAGGGTTTAGGATTAGAGTTTAGGGTTTAGTGTTTATGATTTATTCTAGGGTTTAGGGTTTAGGATTATAGTTTCGGGTTTAGTGTTTTAGTGAAAATAATTTTTTTTAAAGATTTTTTTTACAAAATTTACCAAAGGTTTATGATTTACCTAGGGGTTTAGTGTTTAAGATTAGAGTTTAGGGTTTAGTGTTAAAATATTTTTTTTAAAATAATTATTATTCGTTTTTATTAATTATTATTATTATTTATTTATTTTTAACATAATATAACTTAACAAGATTTTGTTTTCTTTTTTTAAAGATATCATACAATCTTATTGGATTGTGAATCTAGAGATTCACCTTAGGGGTGAACCCAAGAATAACTCTTCTCTTTTATAAAGAGATAGAGCTGAAGGTGTGGATTTTCCGAATTCTCTTTCTATCTATCCATACATCTATACCCAATGGTCTTAAAAATATTCATTTATTTGCTAAGATAAATAATTTCAGGTTTACTACGGTATTTTTCAAGCTCTGTTTTCTTGAAGCTCCGCTAATTCATAAGCAACAAACGAGATAATGTGTATATGGATTATGTTATTTGCAGATATTAGTTTTGGAGAAATAATAAGTGGAAGTAGAGATGATGAAGCTTTTGCATCTGTTCATAACTTCATCGAAACCAGTGCTGGAGATTCTGCTGATAACTTCAGTTGGATTTTACATGGCTCTGGATGGAGTCAATCTTCTTGGTCCAGATGCTCGCAAATATTTGAACGACGTTTGTTATAACTTATACTCTCTTTACTGATAAATCTAATATACAATTTGAATTTAATTGTGTTTATTTATTTTTGTATAGATTGTCTTTTATGTGTTTAATCCTGCGCTTGTTGGAAGCCGCTTAGCTGATAGTGTTACATATGAAAGCTTGGTGAAAATGTAAGTCACAGTCTGCAGTTTCCATCTTTTGTTCTCTGGTTTATACTAATGAGAAAAATGATGTTTGTTGTGGTCAGGTGGTTCATGCCGATTAATGTTCTTCTCACATTCATCATTGGTTCCTTCTTAGGCTGGATTGTTATTCTCATCACTAAGCCTCCTTCTCATCTTCGTGGTCTCATTGTTGGTTGCTGTGCTGCTGGTAATAAAAATCTTAAGAAACATTTTTCTGCTTAATGGTATGATATTAATGAAACCCTAAACAGGTAACTTGGGAAACCTGCCATTAATCATAATCCCAGCTGTTTGTAAAGACAAAGAAGGTCCATTTGGAGATCCTGAGAACTGCCATAAATATGGAATGGGTTATGTTGCATTCTCAATGGCCGTAAGTTTTCTTCTTCTCCAAGGTTTTAGCAGTGTATATATCATCATGATTGATAAATATAATATAATATAATATATATACTTGTAATCTTATCAGATGGGAGCAGTTTACATATGGACTTACGTATACAATCTTATGCGTGTACTATCAAAATCTCCCACTGAAGCACAACCTTCTATTGAATCCAGCTGCAAAGTCCCACTGATTTCTTCCAAAGAAGAAGAAGAAGATAACCATAAGGTCTCATCACTTGATCAATGATTATTCATTTGGTAATGACTAGTGAGCAATGACCGTGTATGAGTGTGTTGACAGGTTGGGAGGTGGGACAGATTCAAGAGAAGAATGGTTTCACACTCGGAGAAAGTCAACTTAAGTACAATATTTGCTCCAACCACTATTGCTGCGGTTTGTGTTTCACTGTCTCTTTTCAACATTCATACTACTGCAACTAATCTATTCCTTTTTTTTTTTTTTTAAAGATAGTAGCGCTTGTGATCGGTCTCATTAATCCTGTAAGGAAGCTAATAATTGGCAACGTAGCTCCTCTTGGAGTGCTTCAAGACTCAGTAACTCTAGTTGGGTAATTGAAGTAGTAGAACAAACACATTATCATAGAGATACTCACTCACTCTAAAGGTGTAATAGAGTTTCTTGTTTATTTTGGCTGAAGAGATGGAGCCATTCCTGCTACGACCCTGATCATTGGAGGAAACCTACTCAAAGGTATGAGGAGCTCAGGAATGAAAAAATCCAGCATTATTGGCGTCTTGGTTGCTCGTTACATTCTCCTGCCTATAAGTGGTGTTTTAATCGTAAGAGGAGCATACAAGCTGGACTTGATTACCTCAGAACCCTTGTACCAATTCGTTCTGCTTATTCAGTATGCTGTCCCACCAGCAATGAGTCTAGGTTCGTTGCTGCAAACTCAACTTTTTTTATAACTTCATTGTATATTGACCGACTTGATCACTTTCTTGGCAGGTACAATAACTCAGTTATTTGGAGCTGGGGAAAGTGAATGTTCAGTGATTATGCTATGGACTTATGGTTTGGCTTCAGTATCACTCACTGCTTGGCCCACATTTTTTATGTGGCTTGTGGCTTAAACCCCCACACTTTATCTTTATATGTGTATTCTTGTGTTACATTTATTCAGGATTTGAACTAAGTAATATGAAATTATATACTCGATCATCTTCATGCTCAAATGGCTAGAGAAGTTACAATCACAAAATGCATAAGAATGAAGAAACAGACTGAGTCTTATTATACTAATAGCAAACCTTCTATTTGCTTACAAAGCTTCTCTTCAACACAACTAGTCCTCACGTGTTTCTCTTCACTCTGCCACAAGCCTCCATATCAGCTTCTTATCATGTTGATCAAGGTAGCCAGGTAGGCAAGAGTCTTCACACAAAACAAAACAAAAGTTTGACTTTCAAAATTTCAAGTAATTACAAAGCCCACAGGGTAGTTAAATGGAACACAACGGTTTGAGCCCAATACTGATAGCAACGTTAAGCAAATGTTTATTTTACCTCCCACTTTAGGATCGCCTGATTATATCTGTTATTTGTTCAATTAAGACCTTTAACCGATACATAACTAAAGAGTAAGTCGTTGTAGGCACGACCACGTTATAAGATAAACCAGAAATTAGGAATATTGTTGGCAAGGAACATGGTAGACGTGCAAGGAGGTTATATCTAAGCAAAACGGCTTAGGTACTACTTTGGTAGATATCTGATATATGTCAGATTATTTTGTCATTTAGTTGAAGATATTTACAAAATGTCGTTAATTGACGAGCATGTTTCTTACGATATTTTCTTAATTGTTAATCATTCTTTTGGTGATTAAATGATAATTACGCGTCCGGCAAGCTGTCATTACTAAAGTTTTACTAACTTTTAAGTTATCTTAAAGTAAATGAAAATGACAATCAACTTGAGTATAAGACTTTTGTGAATATTACCCCAGAGGTCTCATTTTCAATTAATTAAACCAGTTGTCCACCCACTTTAATATAAGTGTCGGTGGGGTATTTTTCACTCGAATTAAGAAAGTAATTATATATACTATCATGCTAAACAGATATGACACCTGAAATCTTATTATATTTCATTAGGTTTACTAATTAAGTTTAAATTAAGAATTGTGATACTAAATTGTATGTAATTAGTTACTTAGTTGCATTGGTTATAAAGTCAACGCCTGATCACGTGAATGATGAATCCTTTGTGCCTTTTGCATGGTCTGCGACCTGTTCGAGTTTACTCAGTTCGATGGCATAATTAAATAAGTACGGTGTCTCCTTTGTTTACTTAGTTTTTTTCAGTTTTTCAGTTTTTTTTAGTTCACTTAATCTTAATTAGTACTCCCTCCGTTTTTATGTTTTACGTTTCAGAGGATTTTTTTTCTTCAAATTAATTGATATTTTCAATTTTCTTTGTAAAATTTATTAATAATTAATGATTAATAATATTATAATTTATATTTTATTATTAGTTGAATTGTGGTTAAGTAAAAAATTAATATGTTTTTACTTAAAAAATGAATAAAAATAAATATTTCTTAATCTATGTACATAATCATAAAATATTATAATTAAAAGTAGGACTATGAAAGTAGTTATAAGCATTATATAAAATTACAATTTCCATTCAGATTTTTGTAAGAATTATAATTTCCATTAAAATGCAATGCTGAAATTTTTATTTCAAATTTGTTCTTTTTAAAAACGTCAAATAGTATATTTAAATCAGATACATATGAAAGTTTTCGGAAGCGCATATTATGATTAAAATGATATTTGTCTAAAAGGTTATAACTTTAACACTCTTAAACAAATAGTTATAGAAAATTTATTTATCAATTTATCATTACGAAAGTCACTTGAAACACACTGCTTGCAGATGTCAATACATAAATTGATCATTTGTGTTTTTTTTGTACCACTTGGGATATCAACTTGCTTTTCTTTATTTTATCATATCACATGGTATTGGTGAGAGTCAAATACTACAAATTGCAGAAAATAAAAAAGTTGTTGTGGTTTCCTAATTCCCCACACTTATTTATTTATTATATATGTTGGTCTTCTTATCTGCTACTATTTCGAATGGGTTATGTTATTTGTTTTCTTTAAAATAATACTCCTCCGTTTCAATTTATATATTATTGTAGGATAAAATTCTTGTTTCAAAATAATTGTTATTTTATAATTTTAATATAAAATTTATTAATTTTATTTGATATTTTATTTTTTTTATTGGTTGAAATGTAATTAGATGTATAGGTAATAGTGTTTTATCTAAAAATATATATAAAATTAAATATTTTCTTAATTTATGTGTAAAAACTCAAAACGACAATTAAATTAAAATAGAAAGAATATAATTTTATAATAATGTTTGTTATTGTTCTAGTGATATTCTATTAATGAAAAATAGAATGATGAATAAAAATAAACAAATTATTTTATATAAAAATAAATTATCTTTCATTATATTATTATATAGTGGAAATAAAGTACGATTAGCTCATTTTTACACTAAATTTTATTTTGCGGGTAAGAGCCACATCATTGCTGACTTCTCTTCAATCCATCCCCGTACACAGAATCTGTAATCTAAACCGCGAATTAATTGATTAGTCGTTAAGCAATTCACCAAATATTGAATTCAAACTTCTTTATCTATGTCAAAAATAATTTCCTTACCCACGAACAATTCCGCGTATCAGTATTTTTTTTTCTAAATATGGTTTTTCTTTGAATTTCTATTAGAAAAAAAATATTACATAAAAATAATGTAAAGATTTTATCTGGAACTTTTATGTTGCGTATCTTCTAGTTGAGGCAAGTTGACAATTTAATACTTGTAGGTCAGTTTTACAGAGTAAATGGATAAGAAGAAAGACCATTTATACAAACGCACGTCCACGTATAATACATACAGCTATACAATGCAATCATCTAAATTAGCCATATTAATCGTATTCACACGTTGAAGAAAAAAGAAAAAGAAAAATAAAATCTGGTTGTGTAATATATTGTGTTCTCAACTATAAGCACGGAAGATAATTTATTCCACTAACACTATAAAATGTATGATACATTTATGATCATTTTGATTAGTGGTCAGTACTTTATGAAAAATGCTGCTACCGATTCATATGAATACTGTGCAACACGTTAAACAGTTTGACTTTGTTTTTCTTTTCTAAAATTTGGTGAAAACTTCAAAACAGAAAGAATAAACTAACCATTTACATTTTTCTCTTGTCTGAATTAAACTACGTTGTTTAGAGTTAGACTAGTCAAAATAATTTGTGACTTTAATAAAAAGGTGCATGCATATTGGCATCATGACCGGCTCTAGGGCATGTATAGTGAAATATTTAATTTAAGTCTCCAAAGATTTAAAGAAAATTATGTAAGTATAAGCCACAAAAAAAAAAATTTAGGGGTTTAAAATTTTTTTACATAGAAATTGTCGTATGTCTCCAAAATTTCAAGGCTGATTTGATTGGCATGGTAAAATTCTTATGAATAGTAACAGTGTGACCATTCAAAAATCTTATCCTCAAATACGTGTAAGACAAGAGTCAACTAAAACAAGCTAAGCATACACGTCAGCACCAGTTTAGTGAAAAGACAAAACCGCAACTGGTTTTTGTCTCTTCCTTTTTAATCGGTCGGTTCGGTAATACCGTATGTCTCCATTCTTGGTCTATTTATATCCTCTCTGTAACACACTCTGTCTCTACGCGTCCTCTCTATCTCTCTCTTTTAGTTGTCAATTACTTTTTCTCTCTCTCTAACGATCAGAATTCAAGTTTTGTTCTTTCTTTGAAGTTTTAACCTAATTAAAGATCTTCGAAAGAAAAAAAAAAAACCTCCAAATGGGTCTTTGCGTATCTGTTGGTCGTAGCGACTGCGATTCTTCTCCGACGGCTAAAATCGTCACGGTTAACGGCGATCTCCGGGAATATAACGTCCCCGTGTTAGCGTCACATGTTCTTGAATCAGAATCAATGCCTTCTTCTTCCTCTTACTTTCTATGTAATTCAGATTCTCTTTATTACGATGATTTCATCCCGGCGATAGAACCGGAGGAGACTCTTCAGGCGGATCAAATATATTTCGTTCTCCCTTTCTCTAAACGCCACTACCGTCTCACGGCTTCGGACATGGCGGCTCTCGCGGTGAAAGCCAGCGTCGCGATGGAGAAAGCGGCGAGAAATAAAAATCTCCGTCGTAAGAGCGGAAGGATATCTCCGATGATGACGGTGAATCAGCCTAATGATCGGGTCGTCACCGGTAATAGAAGTGCAAGCGAGACGTTGTTGCAAAAACGAACGCTACCGAATAAAACGACGCAGTTTAAGACTATTAATACAACCGGTTATTCCCGGTCCGGTTCGAAATTGAAGAGACATGTGTCTGGAAGAGCGTATAACCTTGCGGCTCGATCGATGAGAATACTTTCAACAATCCATGAAGAAACATTGTTTTAGATTTCTATGAATACATTTTTTAATTTCTTTTGTTGTTGTTACGGATATTATAATTGTTAATGTTCCAAATGAAAAAAGAAAAAAAAATTACTCTCTGTATATTAGTGTCTTCATGTGTTCCCGTTGTGCTATTTCATGTATACTATATATGCATTAGCTTATAAGCAGTGCTGGCCCTTGACAGAAGCTGAAGAAACCGAAGAAGCGAATGCTTGAGGCCGTGAATTTTAACATTAAATTTCGGCCAGTTTTTACGAAAGGTTTGTGTAGTCTAGTGATAGGTTTAGAGTATCTACACATCCGATGGAGCGTGGTTCGAAACGTAGTGTCTACAACTCTTCTTTTTATCTTTTTTTTTCCTTTTAAAAATGGTCACCTTTTTTTTTCTAGCCTTTAGAATTTTAGGACCGACTCTGCTGATAAGCTATTAGTCATCTATGTATCGATGAAGATGGAATAGCATATATACCATTTGAGTTATATATACCGTTTGAGTTAGTTGAATTTTATTGTTCGTATCATCAAACAAAGTATATATTTTTGATGGAAAAACTAGTTATGTTTGATGATAAATTCGAATCCAAGAAATTAACATTTCGTTATCACTAGAAACATGAGACCAACACATCTAGATGGATATCAGGATATCCTGTATAATTCAACAAAAAACTATTTTTTGCTAGCCAAATTTCTATAAATAAAATGCATATTTCTACACACTGGTTTTTGTACATTTTAATTTTATTTTAGTTTTAAAAATATATAACTGATTTGATTATAATTAATTTTAATAATTTAATATTTGAATATGTTTGATCAAATTGATATGTAGCTCACCAGTCAGCAGTCTCATCGATTTGGTGTTTGATTACATATTTCTAATACTAGAGACAAAAAAAAAAAAATCTTTTATTTATTTATTTGAAGGATGTAATAGTGTGAACCTAAGATTTAATTTATTTTATTGGACCAAACAATGGGAATGTTCCGATTATTTACTGCCTGGCCGGCAAGTCTCCGAGAGTGACAGGTTTGTATCTAGCAGTGACAGCATTAACTAAATTACCTTCTTCGAAACAATGAGTATAGGTATCTTGTTAATTAATAAGTATTAAATCAAATAATTAACATATGTCAATGTCAACCTTCTTATATTAGGCTGTCAATGTAAGGACTTTGGCTAGCTTAGTATATAAATTATATATTTCCGATTCCTAAATTTACCACATTCTCTTTCGAAGTTCTACTTCACATTTTTATCCTTCTAAAGAATGGAAAGTTGAAAACCACATTCCAGAAAACAAAAACGTAGGTGGGCTATCATAATCTAAATGATGGTTTCGCTTCCAACAAAAAAAGCAAGGATGATTCAAATGAAATTGGTGACAACTCTGGTTTTAACGAATATCGGTCCGATGCATATCTATTTTTCCCCTTTTTGTCATCCTGTAATACATCTTATTTCATTCAAAAGTCAAAACCAGTAATTAAATATGTTGTTCCTGGCGAAATAAACGCTAATTAATAATCTAAAGTCAAAATATAATATTATCTTATAGTGGGACTAACGTTTCTTGAAAAGATTGCTAGACACGAATCTAACACGAACTTGACTTTTAGTTTTATTTTGTTCATTACTCTATAGATTAAAGAGTGAATAGAAATTTGGAATCGTTTCAAGTAAAAGCTTGTTTTGGCATATTTCTCGGCTCTTGCGTTGCATGAGAATCATGGAGTGGGCTTTTATCAGCCCATTAAAAATAGCTCCCTAGCCGATTAAATACAGTCCCACTCGAGTAGTTACACTCTGGGCTACAAGCAATACACGTACATGGGCTGAAAAACTCGAAGTGAAAGCAATTTTCAGAAGAAACAAAAAAAAAATCATTTTATTTACAAGCGAAATTGAATTATATACAACTCATACACACGTATTTGAATCAAAAGTATGATATACATCATGCATTAGTATAAATTATAAATCTCCTTGCTTTGATTGATGGGAATATATCTTTCCTTTTATCATTTCTCTGATTGTTATAAAGATTTCATGTATTAGTTGATTGCATCTTATATGATGTTTTACCTATTAATTAGGCTTTGATGGCTTCCCATTCCCTTTTCTGGTCTATTGAGAGAGGCACATAAAAGAAAAGAAAAAACTTAGATTATGCATACTTCTAACGTATTTACACATGTATATGCAAAATCTTAGCATTATTAAAGAAATGAAAGAAAATTACAAAGGTAGATACAACAAACAAAACAGTTCAAGAAAATCACCAATGCATCGACCTTGGTCCTACATTACAAATGAGCCCAATTCTTGTTAGTCCAACCAATAACATCACTTGCCTCTATTCCCTTCTCCTTATCAACATCATTTATTATAGTTTCCATAATTTCGGATATCTAGTTTCCCAATTACATAAAACGTGACACTTAATTCAGCTAAGTTTACACCCGTTTGGTGAACAAAACTTAGGAAGAGCAATCAATCAGTCACTCGAAAACAGAAACGATGAAGGCACACGCGTGTAATATGTATTCTATCCATTATAAAGTTGATAATCCAAATAAAATAATAACTTTTAATACATTATTATTTATAAATATCATCTATTTACGCCTCATCAGACCTATACATATATCATCAAACTTCCTCTCGTTCTCTCCACCAAACTCATTCTCTTCTTATACTTTACAATTACATACATTAAATATCAACTTGTGTGCACAAAAAAAAAATATATCAACAATATGAGAACGATGGTGGACTTGGGAAGAGAAAGAAGCAGCCATCTACGAGTCATTAACTCTCCGACGAACGTTGACTGTGCCCGTGAAGTCCGTCTCCGACGAACCCTACGTTCACTCATCGAGTGCTTAATCCCATACTGTTGCACTCACCAATCTTCTCCCCACGTCCAAAACGACACCGTCTCTTCCTACGACAAAACAAGTAACGTCGTTACTGGGACATTCTTTGGTCACCGTCATGGACACGTCAGCTTCTGCCTACAAGACGACACTCACCCGTTGCCTCTCCTCCTCTTGGAGCTAGCCGTTCCCACGGCGGCTCTAGCTCGGGAGATGGAGGAGGGCTTTCTCCGTATCGCTCTCCGGAGCAAAAGCAACCGAAGGGATAATAATATTTTAGACGTGACGGTTTGGTCTATGTACTGCAACGGAAGGAAAGTTGGGTTCGCCGTGAAGAGAGAGATGACTGAAAACGACGTCGTGTTTCTTCGGATGATGAAGTCTGTTTCCGTTGGCGCAGGGGTGGTTCCAGACGGCGATACGTTGTATTTGAGGGCCAAGTTTGAGAGAGTCACGGGGTCGAGTGACTCGGAAGCGTTTCATATGGTGAACACAGAGGGTAGCTATGGACAGGAGCTTAGCATCTTTCTTTTGAGATCGTGATATACTTGTGGTTTATGTAAAAGTACCTAGTTATGATGTTATTTTAATGTTTGGTTTGTGTATATTTTAAATCGTGATATGTTACAAATACTGTTTACTGATGTTATTATATTTTATAAATTTCGATGGTATATTGGCACATGGAGAAAACATATTAGAAAACCACATTTATCCTCGAATAATTTTGTAGGTAATGCTAGAATAAGTTATATATCTCGATTACAAATGGTAGCATGGCAGTAAAATGATGAAAATTTGGGGATAAAATGTAAACCTGTAGGTTTTGGATTCGAATTTGTCAGCAACTAATTAAATTGTCATGTGCTTGACCAAACGAAGATGAGACTATGTTGAAGCCTCGTTACAAATTTTGGAACCAGACTAGATTAGTTAGGCGTTGGTGGTCCATATATACCCTTAAATTAGAAAAATAATTAAATATGGTATCACCTAATAATTCAAACATTTTAGCATTTGTGATAGGGAAACTGATCATCAATCTAAATCATCTATCAATAATTATGGAATATTGCTTACTAATTGTTGGTAAGAGATGATAGAATTGGGTTTGGTGTGTCATTGCTTTTGACTCCTTTCCTGCCATCTTGCTCTTGTAATCTATTTGAAAGCTGAGAATTCCTTTAGGGGCCACTGGAGCGTGAGAAGCACGCACATGCACGTGTGTTGAAGATAAGCTGATCAAGGCGAATACTAAAAGCAATGCCCGACCAAACAGCAACCACATGACAGAAGAATCTGGCGTAGCTTCGGTGTCTATTCTGGTACCGAACCAGCACCGTTCCTTCTTCACCTCTAAGTTTTTTCATAATATTAGGGATTTTGCCCATTTGAGATACTCGAACACATTAGTTTTTCATTTTTTATTGTGTATATATATTGTATTTGACCTTCATATTGTATTTAAAATGCATATACGGTGGCGTGATTATGAAATGGTTGTTTTAAAAGTTGGTGAACCAAGTTTCGAACATTCCAATATAGTTTAATATAGTTGGCAATTGCTTTTCGGCAATTTTTTTCGTTTTTGAAGGAGAAATTTAGCAAATATTTACACCCAAAAACAAATAGCAACGATGAAATTTTACTCATCCATTCAGAAATACGATGTGCAATGCACAATATTTTTCTTCGAACAGCTCCAAATCTTTTGTTGTTGTTTAGATGGAATAAGTTAAGCAATTAAGGTTTATTTAGCTTTTTTTATTTAAATCCTAATTTTTTTTTGAACATTTATAAATCATAATTCTTGGTTCTATACTTCGATGCCATTCGTGTGGTATTATTTCAATATACATTTATAATATTAGTTGATATGTACTTTGACAAGATAATCATATAAGATTCGTTTGCAAAAATCATACAACTGTATCAAAAGTCTAAATCATTTAAGATATTTATTATGGTTAACTATAATTGACTTCTCAGTGGAAAAATTCTGCCTTGAGTTTTCCAATCCAAAAACCTGTCATCCAACCACTAGACCATCGTGATGTAGTTAATATATATACCCATGTCTCATAAAATGACAATGCATGCAGAAATCTTGACATCCAGCAAAGGTTCTGAGGTTCTGATTGATATGTTTTTTTGCCTCCTTTGGTTCTCTCGTGATTTTTCATCATCTCCTTCTCAATCATAAATCATATATCAATTTTGAGAATATAAAGTTTCTATATTAATTTTTGTATGGTACATGAATAATATATAAGAGACTTTAGTTAATTTAGTTATCCCTAATTGGTTTTAAATTAGCTTTTTTTTTAATAAATATACAATCATAGCTCTTAAAAAAACAAGAGAAATAGACGACTATCAAAAATAATGAGAAGATATGGAGATGCACACGAGGTTAAGTTTTAACCCTAAATCATTGACATAATGGCTCCACCTCCATTCCCTCTTGGTATGGTTTCACGTGTCTCAGCCCCACGGTTCCCTCTTTTTATAGGGAAATTAGGAGCCACACCAACCGATTTCTGTCAATTTAGGCGTATACCAACCGGTAACTGTTCGCTACCCATCCCATCTCTAAAATGACATAGATGCCCCTATAGGCGTACAAGTGTGAAGCATGCATATCTTTGAGACAGATATCAGAATCTTCTCCTGTCAGAGTCCCGCAGTAGAGTATATTGCGAAGATTTGAAATAATATACTCTAAATCTTTTTCTCTGTACCACACATTACATACCAATCTCCGTGAAAACCCCAGATTTNCCATCCCATCTCTAAAATGACATAGATGCCCCTATAGGCGTACAAGTGTGAAGCATGCATATCTTTGAGACAGATATCAGAATCTTCTCCTGTCAGAGTCCCGCAGTAGAGTATATTGCGAAGATTTGAAATAATATACTCTAAATCTTTTTCTCTGTACCACACATTACATACCAATCTCCGTGAAAACCCCAGATTTTTCGATTTCCATACTTCTCATTTTCTCTGCAAAATCCCCAAATCCCCAATTCAAAAATAAAACCCTAAAAAGCGGCGTCAAAAGTAGTAAAAGAGAATGGAGAACGTTGACTCCTCGGCGCCGCCGGGTACGATTCCGGAGAGAATATTTAGGGCCGGTGAAGAACCAACTGGTGTGAGGGTGACACCGTACCACAAACCGTTTGGTATCAAGCAAATTCTAAATGTACTTGAGCCGGAGGAAGTAGAGGCGATACGGGCGTCTCCGTTTGGAAAATTCATAGATCTTGCTGAGAAGCCGTCATTCTCCGGAAGGTTTGGTCGGTATATTATATCTAGACAGTTAAAGGTTGCTAAGAAGTATGAGGCGTGGTTCGAGTTTGCAGGGAAACCAATTAGGTTCTCTCTTCGGGAGTTTGCTATAGTCACGGGTCTGAACTGTGAGAAATTCAAGAAGCAGTCGAAGAAGAGACAGGCCAACCGTACACTAACGCAGAAACCGTACTGGGTTGAACTATTTGGAACGCTTAAGGAAGTCCCAGTCTCCTCCGTCATCCGTATGCTGAAGAGTAAAGCCGTGACCAAACCCGATCTGCGTCTCAAATATGCATACCTGGCTTTGTTGTCATCCGTCATATTACCCACGACACACACACCAAAAATCTCTGAAGATTACGCGGAGATGATTAAAGATATTGATCAGTTTTTGGCACATCCGTGGGGGAGAGTAGCGTTTGGTATGCTTATAACAAGTATAAAAGAACGCAAGGAAGTTTCCCTCTCGCAAAACACAATTGCGTTGAAAGGATTCGTGCTTGCATTGCAGTTAGTCATGGTAGAAGCTATCCCCGCACTAACCGAAGTGGTTCGAGATGGTAGCTCGTCTGGGTCGGAAGAGGACTATAGAGCAGACGAAGACATTGTAGATGAGCAGAGCGCCGGCAGTAAAAGTATTAGTCCTGGACATGCTCGCGATCTTGATGCAGCAGGGAAGGTATGTATAAAGTTTGTATAAACCCAGTTGATATTTTCTCGGTTTTCAAGTTGTTTATTAGAGCCTCATAGAAGTGGTAATTTGTTCATTGGCCACTTGTGTGTACAGGCGATCGTTCATTCTATAATATCTTCCGAGGAAATACCTGTATCTGATAATACACTGTGTGTGTGGTCTGATGACGAAGACGATCCAGCCGTAGATAATTTGGTGAAGCTGATTCATGAGGGCTTTCCATTCACGCGTTCAAGCTTCGTTGGTGGTGTAACAAAGATGGACGTTATGAGGTTGCGTGAAGAGGCAAACCAATCTTTAAACAGTAAGAGTAGGAAGACAAAGCGTGGCTCCATCCCTCAAATACCTGGTGCTATCGATCTGGAAGGTGTGGTTACTGTGGTGAAAGATAGCTTGAAGGAAAACTTCTCCCGTCTGGAGACCCAACTAGCTACACTTCGTGAATCAAACAGTTCTTTCCAAACGCAAGTCATATCCGAACTTAGTCATATGTTGACTATGGTTGAAGCGTGTAGTGTCAACATAGCCACGTCGAGTCACCAGACTGAGAGGGATGCTGGAGTTCGTGTTGAAATACCAAATCCAACCCGCTCTGTGAGGAATGCTGCGACACAAACGAACCCTCATTCTCTAAACCTTCATGACGTATCTGGAGCTGTGGACCAGCTAACTGGGAAGCGAAAACGTGTAAGTTTGATGTTATACGGCCATTAAACGCTTTACACAATCTCCGGACAAAATTATTCTCCAGGGAGTACAAGTGACAGATTTTGTTTTTTTTTTCACAGGGAACTATGTTGACAGAAGATGACGAGGGGGAACATTCTGGCGGTTCTGGTGTTCAGCTACCGGACGGAGACGGAGGAGTAAGTACATTTTTTTATGCTATGGTAATGGCAAGTTATCTCCAACACTATTCTCATACCAGATCGGTGTAGGATGGAAGTGAAGGGGAGCGTGATGCTACGCCAGCACCACATTCACCCGGCGGACATGCTGGTGTGGAAATCAGCTCAGACGAGGTATACAATTTTTGTTGGTCTGTGTTAAGTAGTTATAGTCAACCCTGCTGCAACAATATGAACCCAATTTTCTGAACAGGGTCTTCAACCGGATTTGGTGTTCCCAAACCCGACGTTCTCATTAGGATTAACACAGGAGGAACGTGCAGGCTTAGATAAGGTGGTTACAGACTGTATTACTGCTGTCAACAAGGGAAGTGATGTGGCGGGGAGTGAGGTTGCTCCGCTTGAGCAAGAGGAAATTGGCATAGGTTGTAGGAAGAGTAAAAGGCAGAAACAGCCTCCACCAGCGCTAGTTGGAAATTATGAATGTGACAAACGGTTTTTAAACCTCGGAAGACAGGCCTACCCAGAGTCATACATGTCAGGGGGGAACATTGATTACTCAGCCAAATTCTCTGTCCTTCTAGACAAAATGAAAACACCATTGTAAGTTTAGCAAACTCTAATTTTTCCAATACTGTGTAAGTTTCCCAAAATACGCTGGAATAACATTATCAAGGAAGTTTGTTAGCCGGCTAACATATATATATTACCTTCATTTTTCAGTTCTATAGGAAATGATGGTTGGACACTTGAGAGCAATGAAATGTTTGAAATCGTCGAAAGATCTGCTCCCACCTCTGCCAAGGTATCCACATTTTAGATGTTTCCGTTTAACTGACGTAGATGATACATATTTGACCTTCAAGTTTGGCCGTTTTTCACAATTACTGATACCATGCAGGTTGTTGATGCTCTCATGTCCCACATAAGTGCATTGTTCCGGTGTAATTCTCAGCCCGACCAGCAGAGCACATGCCTTTTCATGGACACCAAATTTGTTGATGAAATTCTGAAGGTATATTCCAGCTTCTCGAAGGTGACCAGGAAAGAGGGCTTCCCATTTCCTGACATACTCCACCCTGGTGGTGTACAAAAATCTCAATTCATCAAAGCTGACCGATTCTACTTTCTGCTAAATATCGAGAAGAAGTACTGGGTAGGATTATGCGCAGATATGTGTACGTGGGCAATTACCGTCCTGGATTCCAACCTTCCAATTAAGTCAGACTACATGATGAGTAAAGAGGTAAAGCCTCTAGCTCAGATGTTTCCTTACTTTGCAAAACAGGTGGGCAAAAGTCTTGCATCCAAGGACGGTAAACCCATGGCGATCGACAGGCCCCGTAATTTACCACAATCTAACGCTATCCTAGACTCAGTTGTTGCTGCACTACTGTTTGTCCAGTCTCACGCTTTGGGTGGTGTTGACGCTTGCCAAAGTATAACACCAGATGTATTCGACTCGGAGGTTGAGCGGCTCGCGGTGACACTGTACGAAGGAAACGTTGGACCCTTGTGATGTGTTTGTATGTTTATCTAATTGTCTTATTTGTCCTATCAATTTGATACATTATGTCTAAGTTATCCCATCGAAACTTGGTGATGTCGTTATTAAAAGGTTGCTTTTGTATCATTTGCGAATGGAGATTGCATTTAGTAGAATACTTCTAGCCAGCTAACTTGTATTTTTTTATGACCTAAGTCTTATAATACATCGATAAAACCAGAATTTAATCGTAGACGGCTATTAGGTCCACATGTTTATGGCACACGTTGGAAACACTATTCATTGACCACGTGTGATAAAGCAGGTTTAACCACCACCTCCCACATCCCCTATATAAAGGATTAGGGCTTCCTAAACCTAGCAGTCATCCATCAAGTTTCATCCTTTCTTATCTTGTTGCTTCTTTCGTCCCGATATGCAGTCAGCGGCAGCCTCTGGCGGAGATTCGTCATCTGCGACGCACAACAACAACAACGTCGTATCAATCGGACCACCTTGCCGATGTGGGAAATCTACGAGACTGTTGAAGGCGTGGACTGACGAGAACCCAGGGAGACGATTTTTCCGATGCGCTACTCATGGTTTCTGTTCTTGGTTTGATGAAGAGGAGCCCCATGGTTGGCAGAAGGCAAGCCTGCTGGAGGCGCGAGACCTAATACACCGCCAGCGGAGTGAAATACAAAAATTACAAGCTCAGATCAGGTGCCTTAACCATCAAAGGTCCATACTTGAGACAGACTCCGACGACAATTTTGGCATCACTCAGGTAGGAGTCAACTCTTCGGAGGAGCACCAAAACTTCGAGACAGAAGCCTTAAAATCGAGAGAGAGAGAGGCTGTGTTACGCCAGTTGTTGTTACTTTCTTGGGGGGGATTTCTCGCCGCCACGGCCATCATCATCACTATGTCTGGGAAATAAGAAATATTCGAACTTGTAGCTTATCCTAACCTTTTGTCTAATATTTATAGTTAGCGGGATATAACCGCCATATTTTATTGAGGGTGCATTCCAACAACCTAATTAGCCCTCTATATTTTATCTGCAAGGGTCTATTAGATAGAGGTATTGTTTACCGGTTGTATCTGAGGTTCATTACGACAACTAATTAGCCGGATATATTTTTCATATGTAAAACAGGTGGACTTAGGTGTATAAGTCCTCCTTTGCTTGCCATAATTGTAACCTATCTGATAGAGGTATTGTTAACCGATTAATAGGTATAGTTCTGGTTATCCGGCTAAGAAGAATTCATACATATTCATTAATAACCGAGAAGCAGACCATGTTGCTAGCCGGATAACTGGTTTTACTGTCCATAGCTCCGGCTATAGTGTTTACGTTTACTATCAAGGGGTATATTTTTGGGTTTACAATCTTATCTCAAGGTTTACGGTTTATGGTAATATCTTACGGCGATTAGAACCCTATCCCGGCAATTAAAACTAAAGAAAAACCTCCCATGGATCAATGAACCCATGGGCAAATATCACTGAACCCATTGGCAAATTACTCTATTTTGTTTCAAATATATAATTTAAGTAAATAAATGAGGATATGATTGACCATATTTACGGGTCATGTTAACAAGTCTCCGAAAATTTTTCATGTCATCACATGTAAGGGACCTACACTACTTAACCGGTTCACAATACCTCTATCAATTAGGTTACAATGTGGAGCCATCCAAGAATATGTCAAGAAAATTTAGTATTTTTCCCATGGGTTCACTGATATTTCCCCATGGGTTCACTGAT